TCATCTAATATTCGCAGTTTTGATTAAAATTTACTAAAAGATCTTCCATCGAAAAAATAAATTTCTCGATATATACACACACAAACATTCATGTAATAACGTTAATAACATTATACACACATTCTTATTACAATTTACACGCTCGTAAATTATTTTCTATTACTACTCCACATAGAGATAAATAAATTTCTTATAAAGATTTTCCAGTGCATAACAGTGTACACGTTATTATAAATACTCTTACGTACATCAATTACATAATTATTATTACATTATTAGACTAGACTAATATTTATTCATTCATGAAAAGTATTAGAAAAAGGTATTAAAAGTTGTGAAAAATGTTCGATTCGATATATGTCTAACACAGCCATCATTGGAAAACGCTAACCATTAATAAATCCTTCGATATCTTTCTTCCAATTAACGAGGGAACAACGACCGGTTAATCGAGCGGCAACCGAGAAAGAACGAAAGCTTGTTACGTCAATTCGTTTCGTGTGGAGGACACGCGTTTACGCCCCATGTAATTTTTCGATTATTCCCCGATATTAATGCGCCCCATTGTGCGCCACCCCTCCCTCCCCCTCCAACGTTGGAAACACTCGCGTCGAACGATCCCTTTGAATAGAGGCGCTCCTCGCTTCGCTCCAAACGAGTCCAAGGTAACAGCTGCTTTGCGGTTTTCAATCGGCGCCGAACGGAAGTTGTTATCTCGCATGGATTAACTTTGGAAACAATATCGCGCGACAAAAGGCGCGTTTTTTTCCCTTTTCTTTTCTTTTCTTTTTTTTTTTTTTTTTTTTTTTTTTTTTTTTTTTTTTTTCTTTGTTTCCTTTTTTCGTCACAGACCGCTTCGAAGTAACGATTAACCGGTAATAACGCCCGCCACTTTTGATCATTCGACGTTGGATCGACGATTGTTACGCGGGATAAAAACTTTTACAAGCAAACTTTTACGAGCAACTTTTCTCTCCTGTATCGGGTTCGAATATGGAATATTCGATATTCGAAATTTTCATTCTTGATGGTATTGAATGGACGACAAGCTATGAAAAACATGATCCTGTATCTCTCGCATCAATGCCTGTCGATGTTCTTTCCAAACTTGGGTAAATTTCAATTGAAATTGAAATAAGGAACGACTTGTTGGAAATAATTTATCGGTAACGATTATTTTCGTACGAATTATTTCATTATTTTCTGATTTTAAACTTGGCAGAAGAAAATAATTGTCAAAAATATAATCGCGAAGAGAGATTGTTTTTACTTTTTTTTTTAAACATATTTATTAAATGACGTTATTTCAATATCAGGAAATATTTAAAATATGCAATTATATTGTCGCCTCATACGATAATCGGATCCCAATAATAATGAAAGAAATGAAAAAGTTTTATCGTGAGTCTGAATCATTCGAATCATTTTTTTAAAACGCTTTATCGTGTTAAATAGGCAAAAATAATAAAAAGAAAATTAATTCGTTTAAAATAACCAGCCGTTTCGTGAGCGTTAATTTTAAAAGTCACATAATAATAAATAATAATAAATCGACTGCGCTAATCCATAATAATTATCTCAGATATATATCTTAGTAAATTTTATTAGCGCACAACTGCTATTCTCTTTTCTTTTTTTTTTTTTTTTTAACCTACACGTACAACAACATCGTATCATGGACAACTTTTAAACGTTTAATCAATCTAGTCACGTTGAAGGCAATCGTTTACGTAATACGTTATAACGTAATTGCATTAACATACAATTGTACACAAGGACGGTATAAAAATATATATAATTCTGATCGATTCCGATCGACCATCTCGCAGAAGCGCTCGGACAAGAAGAAAGATCAAATGTTTTAATATAAAAAAAAAAAAAAAAAATATGACGTTGTTTCGCTGCGTTGCGAACTCGTCCACGTTCAAAGCATTCTCGAGGCAGAAAATAACTAGATAAAGTAACTAGCGTGCTTTACAATCTCGCAAGAGAAGCACCGGTTACCGCAAGAACAGTTATAATTACCGCAATCGCCGCAAATGTCGACGTACATGTCTCTGAACAGTTTAGCGTAGTATTCCAGCCACTCTTCGCCTCACGTTTGCCCGCAAATCATACACTCGCATTCTTCTTGCTATTAGCCTTGTTCACATTCGAGTAACACGTTGTTCTCCCCACCGCCATTTGCAAAAACGAATTCAGATCCGGGGTCCCCGCAGATACATCTCGACGAGGTGAGTTTCGAGAATTGCGAGAATTCGAAGAGTTTCACGCGTTTCGAGTTCCAAGAATTTTTTTAAATAATTGATCCGAGAGATTGTTGTGAGAGATTGTGACGAATTTTCGAATTTTGGAAGAAACTGAGAGAATCCGAGTCTAATATTTTTCAAGATCTTTTGCAATAGCTTGAAAAATTGCAACGTCTCTCAAGAACACGTTTGTTTAATCTGTTTTGTGAATGCTTTTATCTGAAATCGTAAACGAGAGTAATTCGTGTCTAACATTTTTTTTTTTTTTTTTTGGAAATTTTTGAAGAAATCTTCGTGAAAAATTCACGTAGTATTTTTAGATATTTTAATATCGAGATTGAAATTGAAAAATTTGTGCAACAACGTGTTTAAATATATTATCATTGAAAATATATAAAATGAAAAACATCATCTTTTTAGAAATCCCGGATATGAATATGTTTATGGAATAAGAATTAATATCGTGCAATAATAATATTCTTTAAGAACAAATTAAAAGTAAATTATATATATATATGCAAGATCAAATGAGAATTACTCGAATACTAAATGAAATATTAATCGAAAATACGTATCGTAATAAATATAAAATATTTAATATTTATACTAGGAATTAATATATTCATGGAACATCTTTGAAGGATCGATTCAAAGCCATAATTTATTATGCTTCCACAAAGACATATTAATAAATCCATAATTTTCATTGTAAAATTTTCTACATAAATAATCATAAAGTAATTGCATCGATCTTGCAAAGATTATTTTACGATCAGTTTGAGAAGATCCCTTGTAGATTGAGAACCACCGTGATAATAATGCAAATATATTGATGAATATAACGAGTGAACGAGTAGAAACTTGTTGAATAATCAATTAACATATCAATGTGTACTATAAAATTTTTTTAACGTCACGATAATTAATGATATGTTAAAATTATTCAAAGTAATTATTCAATCACTATTATATCACGAAGAACTTCATTTAACGAAGGAAAAAAAAAATACGAAAAAAAACTATAATTTCTTTACTCGTTTTATTATCCTCTAATCATTTCATTTTAACATCGACGCGATATCGCTGTAAAAACTTGTACCTCATCGCGGAATAAGTTTTATAAAAGTGATTAACCAACGGTCTATTGTACGGATTTTCAGTTTTGCAAAAAATGTTCCATCGATTTGTGTTTCTTCACGTTGACTGGTCCAAAACATCTAGTTTCATCCTGTGAAAAAATATGGCATCCAAATCCATATATCATATATTTTCTGTCATATTCGAAAATTGTCTAAAGACGTGGCTTCGTCGCTCGATTCTTTTACGAAGGATAATAGAATATAATATTAATGATAATATGGATCGAAGATCGAAGAAAAGAAAGATCGATCAAACGAATACTTGACGAGGAATTATAATTTTCACGTCGGTATTCTTTCACTAAATTTTTTTTCCATGGAATTTGCGCATCACTCGTGGAAACTACCGTATTGTTAAATAATTAACAAACCGCTATTGTTTTCCATGAATGCTCATCGATTATTACGTATTTATTTGAAATTCAAAATACCGTTGATGTTACGATCTTATCGGATTAAAATTAATTCACGATGAAAATATACACGGGAAAGATCGAACACTTTTTCCAACGATTATATTTTCCAACGAATGCAGCAAAGAGCAACGTTTCTAAATGCCTCGTTCAAAACGAATTTCGTAATCGTTCGGGCAGATCGCAGCTTGTTTGCTTGAAGAATCGCGGAATCAAGCCAATTATATTCGAAATTTTCTCTGCGAGTTTAAACAATTTCAACGCGATTCGAACAATTTTGTCGGGGCATCTTACTGAACTTGTTTAACGGGTCCAACGCGATTACGAGCCTTTTCAGACCGTTCACCCAACAGGAAGGAATTTCCTCAGACCAGTTCTATCGTCCAAGAAATCGTGGAAGAATGTCCCGATACGAAACGTCTCTCTCGATGACGTTGTTTACGCGGCCGTGTAACACGCGCCATCTTTGACGACTCGAAACTTTCGAAGGAAATGGCACGAGCTTCAATTAAACCGAGCAACACGAAGGTGTCTCGTCCAACGTTTCTTTTCGCCCCAACGAATCCTCTTCTTGTTTCGTTTGTCCCGATATTTGGATCCGCAAGAACGGATTCCATTATTGCCATCGTAAATTGTATTAGATTGTCTTGAAAATTCATTTCGTTTCCTTCTGAATATTTATGATTTAATTTAATCACGTCGTACTTACATATAGCTTTGTTGATGAAATAATGTTATAATTAAAATTTGATATAATTAATTAGGTTTATTCTCAATCTCGGTTTAACAAGATTAAAATTTGTAATTGATTGTTACTGGTAATGTTCTCGATTGATTTTTAATATCTATATTTGCTAATTTAAATTTTTAATACTAATTACAGGTCAAAATTTAGGCTTATCCCTTTAATATAACTGTTTCGAAAAATCTAAAAGCATTTGTAAAAGCATTCGAATTCTGTACAATTCTGATACATGCATCAAATCGATTATTTTGTGGGTATGTGTTATGATCTAATCATTCGCGAACTTGCAAATTTTTTTAATATCGTCAGTTGATAAATTCTGCGAAAGAGTGTTTAATTGAGTGCACAGTTGTTGAAAAGTTAGAAGAAATATCGATGAAATTATCGTATATGCATATATGTATATATGCAAATATAACAAGAAGAATTTTTAAAGCGATCAATGAAAGAAATCTTTTTAATTCCTCGAATAGGATTTTTATCGTAATAGTTATTTACAGGAGCGTAATAATACACAGTCACTCTAATCATCGCGACTCTAAAAATAGAGAATGAAACTTGGTAACCTTGAGGAACTTGTCACGCAATTTCGTAAATAAATTGGAGGACGATTAAACAGAAATAATTTGCCGGCTTTAATGGCGATGAAATCATAGAATGGTTTTACAAATAGAAAAATTAAAATGTAAATATATTTGCGTGGATTTCTTATCGTTTGCTTATTATCAAGCATTTCAATTTTGGTGTTTGAATTATATTATATTATATTGTATGCAAAAAATTCAGAAAAAGAATTTATATTTTATTTATTAAATATATTTTGACTTGTTCAATTAGATGTTAAAAAAACAAGCTTTATATTGCAATTTTACAATGAATGATTCCGATGTTGAACAATTAAAATTAAAATTACGCAAAGAAATTGTCATTGTGTGATTTTCTGTGATTTTTCGTCAAACATTAAAACAAAGATTTTTAACAATTCACTTCATCATTATTATCATGTTTATCATATTTTTGATTAATTTTTTTTTCAAGTCAAAATTTTTTTTTAAGTCAAAGTAATTATTCCACGTGCGATTTTTTTTTTTTTTTTATTTGCCTCGATGGTTAAAAATAAATCCATTCTTCCTTTTTCATATCTGTTTGAATAAGAACGAGTAAGTCGCTAATGTAAATTGTATTTAAATAATCTGAGTCATCACGGAATTATAGTGTTTTCATGACGCGCAGTATAATACGTGAAATACAAAACTTTAATAACATATGTTTTATACCCGATAACTTTGAACGAGCATCGATTTTAATTTTTAAGATATCTACATAACTAATTATCGAAATATTTATACCACTCATAATAAATTACAGATTAATTTAGTCAGTAGGAATTTTTTCAACGTTGGATCGTTGAAAGTTTTTTTTAAACGAGTTTGAAACTGCAAATACTTTCGAGGTACGTTCGGTTTAATTGACATTTCAATGCTCGAAAGCAAACCGGTGTGACGGAATAAATTATGAAAATCATTGGTTTTCGGTGCATTCAACGTTACGATTCAACTGGTGAATATTTTATAGAAGGTGTAATGACGGAACTTCGCTTTGATTTTCTGAATCGTGAAATACTTTTATCACAAAATTATTTCTTATTATAATCGTGCGCGAAGTTTTTTATTTTTTTTTTTTGTCAAAAATTGATATTTTTAACAAATTTAACAAATTTAATGAATAATTTAATGAATATACGAGGTGTGTCCTCGTTTAAAGATGATTCGTTTAACTTTATTTACAATTAGCGAATTCATGGAACAAGATGAAATTCGCGTTTCATTTATCGTTCGAAATCCTATTTCAGTTCATCGAAAGTCAATGTTCCACTTACCGAGTTTTCAAACGACAAAAAAGTCTCTGCATTTACACAATACCGTTCACTACATCGTACAATAAATCCTATAATAAATACGAAAAATATGGTAAATGCGTCGAGTTCACGATCATTTTGATTAAAAATTATAAATATTTAAATAAACGAGGAGATGAAATCATAGATTTTTCATGATTTTCATTTTAATCCATTTAACGATGTAACGATTACGATATTTTAAAAATAAAAAAAAATATATATATATATATTTAACTTAAAATATAGTCAGTTATTAAAGTCAGTCTTTTAAAACGAAACCTGTAAGGTAACTGTGATAACGTAAAAATTCCTGGAGAGGACATTTTTGCTGACTATACCAATTAGACAGTGAATTGTACATTCGCGGCTCTTTCTTCTTGTGGAGAAACTCGCAAAGATTGCAAGCGGCGTGTCGAATGCCGCCATCGATTTTGTAATACCTCTTCCAAGTGAAATATTTATTATATTCCCGCGGATCTTTGATCAGTTTCTTTAAATATTCGGCCAAATCCTTCGGAGAATCGAAGTCGAATGCGTTTATGTAAGATCGTGGTGGGGCAAAGAGACTGTAATTGGCGCCACCGTATACGATTGGGATCACGTTGTACCTGTAAATAAAAGGAAAGCAACACTCTTTGATTATAAATTAAATCCTTTTTTCGCGTGTCATAAATCCGCGAAACAGTGATAAAAAAAATTTAAACGAAATCTATTCCAAACTTAAACAAAACACTAAACGATAAATAAAACTTATCGAAATCTTAGAAGTAATATTGAAAATATTTTTATATTCAAACTCAAGTTGAGAATCGAAATCACGTAATCTAAATAAATATTAAAACAATCTTTTCCTTTTTCTCTAATCTAATCTCTCGTATCTAGCATACATATAGCGAATATGAAAAAAGAAGAAAAGAGTTAGAAAAGAGATAAAACGAGGAGAAAGAGAATTAATTTAACGGCCACATGTCGGAACAATTGCACACGAATTCGTAGCGCAGATCCGTCAGCCGATTCGAAATCGATCAGCGAGGCGGTTACGAGCTACGTCTAGTAACAATTCTATCATCGAGATCGTCCATTGTTTTACCTGAGGGCATTGTACAGCTTCTCGGTTACGTAATCGTCGCAGAACGAATTCTCGAACGACAGATAGAAAAAATAGTGGGGTTCGACGACCTGCTTGAAGCAGTCCACGCTAGGTGGACAATACATGGTCCCGCATTTCCCGTAAACGTCGATCGGTATGTGCCTCGACAGCTCGTCCACGTACTCCTGCCGACCGCTTTTTGCCCGACAGTTGCTCACGAACCAGATTATCGGCCTCGCCTTCCTTCGAAACATCTTCGATGAAGATGCATCCTCGCGGCTGTGCGACTGGTTACCTGTGCAGACGAATCGTTGCTTCTATGACACGATTAATTAAGAGATCGTAATGCGATTTAAATGCGTTAAAAACCGATAATTTTAATACCTTGGCATTATCCAGTTATATTTTATCGATCGAGAAAATTCTCACGATCCTTCTACAATAATCGTGGATAAACGTCTTAAGATCGATTTACATTCGTATTCGACGCGATACCAATCCTCCTACATTTTTTACCGTATTATAAAATCAAGTAATAACATTTATACGTGCGTGACACGTGCTCGTTACACATCTCCCATTAGGACAATTCCCATTGGTGAAACGCAAGGGTGTGTGAATCGCCTTGGCCCGTATCTAATGAATATAAATCGATCTTCATTCGCTTAAGTTGGAAACGTAACCACCTAGGAAAGGATGGAAAGGACAGTAGTTGTTGGACAAATAAACAGACGTGGAAGACAGGTAATTTGCAACGGTTAATAAAGTCATCGTAGGCACTTTAATTAACAAGAGTGGTTCAGGGAAGGTTGTTGTGGCGCGTTTACGTAACGCGATTGCGCAAAATAATTGTCGCGAATTTATTCTTCACAGACTTTTCTATCTTTTCTTTTCGAGCATGGCACACTCGTCCATTCCTCAGCAGCAATATTTCGCAGCAACGTGTAATAATACGTAATAACATCAACGTCGATAAAAAATAATCAACAACAAGATTTGCAATTTAATTTTCGTTGATTACACGATAATTTTTTTTTTTAAATGCCGTGAAAACGGGAAAAACAAAAAAGTAATTAATACTGATTATTCTTGATCTTATTAGTCTCGACAATTGAAGATTTTGCAGTAGAAAAAAAAAAAAAAGTAGAATTTATTTTGAACAGTTTTTGAATTATTAACGCGACGATAAATCAATAAATGTTATATATAATACGTATCGTTTATTATTAAAAAAAAAAAAAAAATTCGCCAAAAATTGAATTGACTAATTAAATATTATACGTGAAAACACGATATGATGGATTTGAAAAGTAATGAAACTGGTTTTACAAAAATATTTACATTTTTCTTCTCTTCTTCTCTAAAATATTTATATTTTATTGAAGTAATTTTCTTGGAAACCTATAAACTGAAACATTATTCTCACTCCACCAGTGTTTCTACTGAAATTGCTTTCATTTACTCGGTTACGATCGTTTTAGATATTTTCTCTGTTTTTAAAAATGGCGACTTAAACGTGATGTTTGATTCTAGAAAAGAGGAAAGTCGGATAAAATTAAATCAAAAAATATGCAATTATAAAAGACTACGAGAATATTACGTTTAATATTCAAAAACTCATTTGCACAAGGTGCAAGATGTATACAAAATGTATCAAAGTGAATCATCATCATGCAGTAAGTCTAAGAATAATCTCGAATTTGACGCATATTATTATTGTTTCTCAAAGAGATTTTAATTTGCTGCGTATCTTCGTGACACAATTTTTTTTTTTTTCTTTTTACGAATGATAGTCTTTATAAAAAGGAAATAGGAAATTGTTATAATTACCGTTTTATCTTCATAACACGTCATTTCGCTATTGCACACTTAAAAAATTTGCTATTAACTCGCCTGCGTTATCTCAATCATGAATTTGATAATGTGGAATATAGATATATGTTTCAAATGGAAAAATATTTGTAAAATGTTATATGTTTGTATAATGATTTGGCGAGAATTGAAAATCAGTTTCATCACTGGATCTATGAATTTTTATTAAAACGAGTTCAAATATTCAACACATATATAATATAATAAAAAAAATGTGTCGTGCAATTCAAATATATATATATTCCAAACTATAATAATATTCGTAAAATATTAATTTACATAAAATTTCTATACACATTTATAATGTCATGTAGAAATATTTTTTCCAATGATTTTTTAACAAATTAAAAAAAAAAAGGCGAACGAATAAAAATCATTCTACAGAACGTCATGCAATACATATATTATTTCAGGATCATATATTTGGACTTTACTCTTTTTATACCCAAACTAGTTTCAGTTTCAATATTTTCCCAATTTTTTCCCGATATTTTATATCGTAACCAGATATATACGATTTACTTATTTTATTCAAAATAAACTTGTTTATAATATTCAATTATCGTGTACAAATAAAATCAAAGGCGTAAAGAAAAATATGTATTTAAAAAAATAATTTCCTCATTACCTCTACTCTCTTATTATTATTTTCTTTTTTTTTTTTTTGTAGACACACTATTTCTCACAATTATCGTTTCTATTTTTAACTTTTGCTCACATCGGGATACAATAATTTTATAAGCAATTTAATATCTCTAAAGCTGCCTCCCTCCCTCTCTTCCTCTTGCTGCAACATCCTCGGTTCTACGTTCGCGAGACAACGATTTTCCCGTCTGTTTTTCCAGTTGCACGCGAAGGAAGTCGTCATAGCGAATTTTTTTCGCCGTTTCGTTTGGAACGAGCGCAGGGGGGAAAGAACAGCCAGCGGTGCCTCGTGTTACGCCAGCAAATAGCCGCGTTCTTTGTCGTAGCGAGCAAAAGCAGCAGGGGAACCGACATTAATTACGAACCGCGACGATTATGAAGCACGTGGGACAAGATGATGCGTCCTCCACGCGGAAAAACGAGTGGGTAGAGCGATATATGTATGTATGTATGTATGTATGTATGTATGTATGTATGTATGTGTATACGTATGCATGTAGTACCATTCTTGCGAAACAGGTACTTAGTTGCGACGAAGAGGCAAACTTTTCTCGAGTGATCAATGTCCAAGATGTATTAGGTAATCAAGAAAGTTTTCTTCTTCTAGTAGAGGAAAAAAAAAAAAAGTGCAAGAAACGTGGGAAGAAAATTAAAAGAGTTTGTATCGGGAATAATTCTGAATTTCTTTTCTTTTCTTTTCTTTTTTTCCGGAAGAAAAAAAAAAATGTTTTAAATAAGTCTTCAATAATTTTCCGTTTCAATTTGTGATAGAATTTGTGAATGGTCGCAATTTTTAAAAATTCCTCTTCTTCTTCGAATTCGAAGTTTTAGATTCCAGAGATGAATAAGAATTACATGTACAGGGTGTCCGATTGCGCACGAGGCAATGGATTCTCTAACTGCGTTGAAATGAGAAAAGGAAGAAGGAGAAGTGAGTCATCTAATTACGTTGTACGTATCTTATGCGTGGATTATTGCGACACTGCATTATAAAAAAACAAGGTCAGATCTTATTATTTACACGAACCTCTTTGCTTATTTTAATAGAATCGATTTTTGTTTGTATTTTCCTTCCCCTCCGTGAGGACACACCTGTTCATTTTCAATTTCAGTTTCTCACAAATATTCCATTCATCTTATCGAATATTTTTCTATCACAAATAGAAAGAGAAAGTTTACCTAATATTTTTCAAAATATCGCCCATATTTCGAAAATATTCCAATATTTTTCAAGATTGAGAATCAATTTTACGTTTTACGCCTACATTACCTGATCGATTATAGAACGCTTTCCAACGTGCATCTCTGTCAGGCGCCACAGTTTGCCCATTGTTGACGTCCTTCACGATCCCATAAGTCCATACAATATCGCTGTCCAATCTGTACGTCATCGTGGCGTTAAAGAAATCCTCGTAAAAATGGTCGGACAGGGGCCTATTGGCCGGGCTTTCGAGATTCACGAAAACGTACCACTGGCGCGGGCTCCTTCGTAAAGGCAGATCGGCGAGCTTCAGCTCGTTCCCGTGGAACAGGACCGCGTCGAATTCCGTGAGACTCGCGTAACTTCTTTCGTGGGTCGCGTAACAATCGTTCACGGGGCAATCGACGAATACGTCTCCTTTCCCCATGTAAAAATTCTCGTCGTCGAACATCGTGTTCCAGAAGAGGATTTTCTTGGTCGTGTTTGTGACTCGAGTGTCGTTCCCCACGCTGGTCCGTTTGAAATGTATTATATCGTCGATCGTGCCGTTGAAATAGATGGACAGTATGTAGAGGGTGAACGTGAAGATCGTTAGGGCGATCAAACTGTTCCTCTCCAGTATCCATAATCTCATCCTCTCTCCTTTTGTTTCCCCGTCCTTGCTTTCAATCACCCCTCCCTTTTTCGTCGAAAATTTCTTCTCTCACCGATTTATTTCGATCACGAAACAACACCCTTCGCGATTCCTGGTCATCTTAATTATCGACCACTTGAAATTTGACGTTTGTCGTCCGTCAACGAGGTAACGAGATAAATTGTTCTTGACAGTGAATAGGATGGATGCGTGGGATTGATCGTGAGATGGACAACGGGAGGAAATGATGTTCAAGGGGAGGGTGAAAGATTCTCAAATCGTTGGAACAATCGGGGAAGGCGGCGAACCTGATGATCACCGGCGTGGAAATACGGAAACGTTTGTAACAGCGGTTTACCAAATGGGCCGGGTATTTCGTTACACCGCAACGATCATGAGACTCTAAATATTTCACGATTCCAAAAACCATCGACGGTATAAATTATTCGAACGTTATAGTTACCGATCAATGATTCAGCAAACCGAGCGGGCATCGATCTCTCCGCGAGTCGGCCAATTTACGAATAAAAACGAAACTCTTCGTACCCCTCCCCCTTCGTTCGCACGATTTGAAGAAACCTGACTGTACATTTTATTTATTTATCTTCCTCTCTTCTTTCTCTCTCTCTCTCTCTTTCTCCTTCATTTACGTATTAAATTTCCTGCTTCCAGTAGATATGCAACTGACAGGTAGATAAAAAACACAATTACCCAGTGGCTACTAAACGATAAAGGAAACGAACAAAACGACAACCTGTCTCTCTATTGTGCCCCCTCCCCGTTCTCTCTTTTCCTTTCGCGTGTTCCGCTTTGACGCCGTGCAATAGAGTGAAAAAAAAAAAAAAAAAAAAAGAAAAGGAAAAAAGGAAGGAAGAAATGACACGCAAAGAGGGAAAGAAACGGGGATACGAGATTACATATCAGGTTTCGTTCGATTAAAAGTTACTCGTTTCCAAAGAAAGATCGAACTTTCCTATCCCTTTGACACACACGCACGCACTCGCGCGCACGCACACGCGCCCGCGCGAAACCGATCGAAAATTGTACATATATCGTGTCAACGGAAATCTTCTCTCTTTCTCTCTCTCTCTATCGCTTTCTATCTTTCGTTTGTTTTAAACGTGGCGAAAATTTCAGATTTCACGCGTTTATTATCCCAGAAAACTGGCGGAGGGTTCACAGGGTGCTCGAACATTCGAGCCGAGGATTTTTAGTCCATCAAGACGCGATTGTATCGCGCGTCGAATGCAAAAAAGGATGGCTCCGTTTCCGGTGAAGGCTCGAGGATGGAAAGGCCGATAAAACTCGTGATTGATGGTTCACCATCGCCGCGTCCAACGTATAGGATAGGAAATGTAGGGCACGCGCGTGTGTCTCGTGATCGAGAGGAATTTGCTCCTCCTTCGCAGAGTTTTACTTTACTCCGAAAATCTCCGCGTATCCATCCGCGTAGAGTTGCACCTTCCTTGCACCTTCACCACCGTCATTCCTGCCGTCGTGAATCGTCCAACACCGTGTACCACCACCGCCGCGTATTCTTCCCTTATTTCTCTCGAACACGCGTCGAATTTTTGTTGAGATACGATCGGAATCTTCGACTCCGTTTTTACATTTCTCTTTTTTTTTTTTTTTTTCTTCTCGAGTCGATCGAAGCAACGTTTTTTTTTTTTTTTTTTTTTTTTCTTTTAATAAACGCGACAAATGACGAACGATCGCGAGACGAATACCGAATACGCAGAGAGAAAAGACAAGAGAATAGCGCGACTACCGACTGTGCCAGCAGTTGTAAGCCGACTGGTCAAATGCAATGTGCGCGCTGTAATATCTATGCTAGTTCCGAAGAAGGCATTCATTGTTCTAACAAGGCGTGGAAGAGTTATCAGTTTTACATATCGTTTGTCGTTCTCTTTTTATGTTTACGTTATATAGTAAGAAACGGAACGCGAGATATTCTTTTTTTACGCTTTGACCTGAATATCGATATTAATTGTTATAAATAAAGAAATCGAACGAATAACGTTTGGTTGAAAAAAATGAGATTTCACGAAATGTCGAACGCTTGAACGTAAATAAATAATATCGTAAACTTCGAAAAAAAAAATTTCGTGATTTTTTTATCAATAAATTAATTTTTTTATCAATAAATAAGTACGAGACGATATAATTTTTGAAAAAAGATAAGGCAAATTACAAAGTTATCTTAAACTTTTAGTAATTTAAACATAACATTTTATTTAAGTAATTAAGTTTAATGCATTAAGTATAAAGTAGTACTGTAGTTTCGTCTTATTTTAGAGAATAGTCGGATATATAAACTTCGTTGTGCGTATTCGTGTTAAACAGAACAAGTATTGAATTTTCATTTTTCATTTTTCAAGTTTGTTTTCGAACGAGCGAGTTTCAAAATTGATCGTTTTATTGTCCATCGATGAACGTTGGATAGATTTTTATCGACAAATCCTCGATAAAATTGAAACTTATACGCAAGGTGGTGGGAAGGGGAGGCTAGATCGGTCGATTAAGAAGCTTTTCTCGGGGAAATGGAGTGACTTAGCGGAGTATAACTTCGCTCCTTATATCGCTCAATCGTAAAACTTGTGGCGCCTTGGCAATCGTGGTTGAACGACACCGCAACCCTGGATGAACGGAAACGGAAAATCACGTGCGTTCGATGTCGTGATTTATGAAAGGAACTTCTCTGTCGGTGATTTTAACGATTATTCCTTTAAGATTCTTTTCCGTTTTTCAAATACGAAATTTTGAGATATATCGCGATACGCACGTTTATCGATAAATATTTAAATGAAATTTCGAGAAGTTTAATTTCACTTTCTGTAAATTATTTTGAGAAAGAATTAATTAGATAAAGATATTTTGAAACATCTCGTTTCATAAATATTGGTCACGCCCTAAGTTCAATAAGTGAACGGATGTTATGTCGATTACGACAATCGAGATATACTATAGATTTCTAAGAAGGAGATAATGAAATTTCAAGGAATGAATCATGACAGAGATGCGTAGAATTTCTTCTCGAAGATTCTTTAATTCTATGAAATCTTCATTCGATGAATGAAGAATTAAAAAAGAGGTGTTGAAAGCAATTCCTTCCTATTTCATAAATGAAGAGCCGCAGAATAATTGTATTCACACTTGTCTGGAATGAAATACAAAGTTCTTCGTCAAGATTATTCAAACTTCAATCAATGCTCCTCGACCTTCTGAATCTCTGCCTCGTGTTAAGAAGGGATACAACTGTATTCACACTTTTTCTTATAAAAATAATGCTACTAGAAAATTTGGATCATACTTATATTTTCGCGATTTCTGTTATTTCTCTTGAGATAAAGAAATAATAAAATAATTTATTGCTATCCAACGAAGAATTCTGTACAGCCACAAGGAGAGGATGATCTTGACCATTGATCGAAGAAATATTAATTCATCAATCAGCGATATTTCGATCAAGAGAATCATCATCATCAATCAGCAAGAAAATCACACCACAAACTCCGCAATATATTATTCATATTTGGCGTTATTGATACATCATCAACAGCCTCTCGTTTCATTCGAATTTTAAATAATAATTTGACTGTTTTTGAAACTCGTTGCAAGGATTAGAAAGACGATCGTTTCGATCCTAAACTTTGGGTTAAAATCAGCAAATTGATAACCCCGCGACACAGAGCAACCACCACACCGTGATTAATTCTTCTCATTAATCACGGGCCGATCCATCATCACGGTATCCGCGACGTTATTCTTCGACGCCACTCGAAACGCCGCGAAATCAATCATAATCGAAGTTTAAAAGAGTGGCGCGACTTTATAAGAGAGTTCCCTTCGCGGATTTATATCGCCGCCTATATAAATGCATAGACATATACACATACATAGACATATACACATACATAGACAGGTTCGAATATAATAATCTGGAACGACCAGTTGAGATCAAATAAGAATAATGACTCGTCGATGAAACGGGCACAAATATATCGCAAGATCGTTTGAAGGAATTTTTGTTATACAAATCGGTGGTTAGATCGATTTTAATCGAAACGATTTTTTAATTGTAAGCCATTTTTCTATTGGATTCTCGTGCGTTTGTTTAATCGAATAATAATAGGCTATATATAAAACGTCACACGCGTTTAGTAATATCGAATCACTCATCAAATATGTATATACGTATATACGAAACTGGTTATGAATCGTTACTCCACGAGGTAGATTCCCATTCTAAGCGGTTATGTAAATAATTGAAAAATCCTTAAATGCATACAACTCCATTACATTCGAAGAAATGTTTTTTGACGCTAGGTTTACCATACAATTGAAATTATTTATTTATTTATTTGAAAAGATACTATCGTTTTACATGAAATGTGCAACATTTTAGCATTAACTAGCATCAATAAAATTGTATATATATATATATATGTATATAGTTTCAACAAGATGATGACTAATATTGTTCTGCTCAGATCATCTCGTCTAAAGAAATCTTAAAGAACTTTATTTAGTTTTATTACATAACACTATTTCTGTAATACATTTTTATTTTGTCAATTTGGTAGTTATTTCGACGTTTCAATTGATGATTCCCTTCTCTCTGTCTCTCTCTCACTGCATGCATTTTCGATAAATGCGTGACGGAATCGACGGTTTCCTCTTCCAGTCGAGCGATCGACCAACTGCCCTCTTGCTTCACCATTGACCAATCCTGAAACTTTCCCAAAGGATTTCTACGACTCGTGGTGACCTGTTTCCTTTTCCTCTTCGTCTTCCTTCCTCTCCGTCTTCTTTGGAAACTTGTTCCTATCGTGCGTTGCTATTTGGATCGACACCGACTCGAGTAACATCCTCTCGTAAAAAACATCGATATCGTTCGCAATGATTTGCCGATAATCGGATCAAGAAAGCTGATTGTTGACAGATAATGATTGGTTAAATCAAATCGTACTTATAGAATTATGAACAATCTCGAAGAAAGTGTCGCGCAAGATTCGCAAATGAAAGTTTCTTCTTATTCGTCGATACGGAAAATGGACGGTAATTAATGGAATTTTCTGTCTTTGCAGCCCTCTCGGATCGACCGATGTTTGCCGAGCCGATACCGAACGTCACAGTGCCATTGGGGAGAGACGTCAGTTTACCCTGCGTCGTAGAAAACCTCGGTAATTATAAGGTAATTAAATCGAAGAATGTATCAGCATTTCGTATTATTCTACACTTTCCCAAATTCCTCGTATTTTTCCTCAATCCTTATAAGATGAACTAGCTTCCCGTATAAATTCTTATAGGCGACGAAGTGTATCTCAATCGAACGAAACAAACACAATGCGTCAATCGAATAATATAACTCTTCTTCTTCCTCAGAAAACTTCCTCTCCCAATTATCACGAAGAGAACCGACCGAATCGACCCGACTAATTTCCATCCTTCCCCTTTCCACGCGTTCCAATTAAACGTCTTGAAATAACACACGTCCGTGTTACGTTTACATCTCGAAATTTGCATGCGTATAAAATTTTCAGACGCTCGAAACTCGGGGGAAAAAATTCTTCGTTCGAAAATTAAAATAATTTTTATTACCTAATTCGTGAGGAAAAACAAATAATCGAAGGATGAAAAATACGAAAGTGACGAAAACGTATTACGACTGTATCATTCGATTCTTCGAATTTTCTCCGTTTACGTAAGCCACTCCTTTATTACGCAACGTCGTGGGTAAATAATAAATGGCGGCGCAGACGTTGGAACGCGCGCCGCCCCCGGGTTTTAAAATATTTACGGTATCTGGTCCCGATGTATCGATTCCCGCCAAGGCGGAATATCCTCGTGGCGGGAACGTTTTGTCGTGCACGCTCGAAATCCTTTTATTGGAACGATTTTAATGGAACGGCGCGCACGAAGGAGAGGAGGCGCTCTCCATTCCAGGGCGAGCCTCGGCTCTAGGTGCCGCGTCGGGCGTAGCACGAAAAGCGTGAAAAGCCGTTCTCAAAGCGAGTAAACATGTGTCACCGTGTCGAGCGTCCATTTTTTGATAGGATATCAATGTGAACATTGGTGGTGGTGGTGATGATGGTCGTTTTGAAGAGCGTTTCCGTTCATTTTGCTCTTATCGATAAAGTTTGATTAACGATCGGGTGTGGCGTGTTTATTTTTCGTGAGATTAGATAGCATATTCGTCGAAACAACTATTTTCTGATGCGATAAGAGGGAGATAAATTGTAAGTATCGATTTTGATGATAAAACTTTTATAGATTTAGTCTAGTAGGAAATGAGAAATTTTTTTTTTTTTCTTTTTAATAATCCGTCGTCGATAATCTTGTAATAAATTTTTTTTCGAAAATTTCTGTAAGAAGTTAAAATATTGCATTGTATTTTTCATATTATAAAAATATAGAATATTGTAACTGTAATGCGTGTAAGTGTGATATATTTGCTTGATTTCCAGTTATCTCGACAGATATCCGAAAATCAATATTACACGTGATAAGTGATTATTCATTTTATCATATATTTTCTTATCGCAGCAGAAACGACAGAAGTTCAAACGTAAAAAGATAGACGCGTAAAAGATAAATCTATATATATAAAAATATACAAATAGATAAAAAGGAATATTCGTGCTTCGTAGCCGATCGAACATCTTGCCAACTATTTAATCACGTGTGTAAAACGCAACAGTTTGTAGAAAATAGTCACGATAATTCATAACGTTGACCAGCCACGCATCGATTAAGGAAACGGAGAACGGAAGAAACGAAATATATAACGAAATATAAAACTTCCATATTTATGACAATAAAGGAGATGAAAAGAAAAACAAAAATTAAAAACCACACGAGGATAATGGAAACAGCGTTGTCCCACATTACTCCACCATTTACACCAGTTTCACACCGATCGTTAATCATCGAACGAGAGCGAAAGAAAGAGAAAAAATGTACAGCAATTCGTACAAAAGGAAACGGAAATGTAAAGCTCCGCGACTCCTCTCGATTCCCTCTCCTCCTCTTCCTTCGTTCAATTATCCACCATCCCAGGAACCAACGTTATTAGCATTACCGCGATTCCAAAGCGAAGAACGTTTCCTCCTATCCTCTTGGCTCTGGCGTGTCGGTAATTTCCCCTTCTGTTCTTTTTCCACCGCAATCTCGCCGCTGGCCGGTCCGTGGGCGGATTCTTCGCCGTTATCTCGGCCCGATACCACCCATCGGCCGGAGGACCGATGTTATGCAACCGCCACCGCCGCCACCGCTATTGGAAACGCATCAGTTTGTTGTCCCGTGGAGATGCCCGCGACTCGATCCACGTTACACGCGAACAAACGTATCCGGCCACCTCTTGACGAGACGGATCGAGCACGACTTGACGGGCAAATAAATTGTGCTCTTATTGTATTTCGTCGCGTTAGACGACGAGCTTAGAATCAATTCTTCAATTCCACTCTGTTGCTTTTCGTCGCACAATAATCGTCAAAACCTCTTCCCATGGAAAATAACAGAATTCCAAGTAGAATAACATAGCTTAGAATAACGATGCTTCGTCTCTATTTACGTTATTGTTTGTCATCTGTTTGTTATTTCGAGATGAGAATGGTAATAAGGTATAAATATAATCTCGTGAAATCGTGGTTTCGTTTATAATATTGTAGGGGAAGGACCTGGACGAAGGATTTAGATACTCGTCGCTATTTCGTGGAGGATGGGGATAAATGTATATATGTGGGAAATATTGGTAGAGACTGGATTTGAATTCTTTATGAGTGTTTGGGTATAAAGGGTTTGAATCTTCTTGAATGTTCAATAAGTCGAGAAGTGGAAATAGTAGTAGTTTCAAGTGGAATATATTTGAAACTTTACTTATGAGTATACTTATGAGTATAATTGTGAGTAATAATTATGAGTATAAAAACGTTGAAATTTTCGATCGAAATGAATTCTCTTAATTTTCGAAAGTTTTTTTTTACTATGTTGTAAATTAAACGTTATTTTAATAATTGCAAGTGGCAAGGAGATAAAAATTATAAGAATTTTTATATAAATTTGAATAGGAGATTCATAAGAGATTCGTTTCATTCGATCAATCTACAGGAATCCTATGGAACGAATTTTTAAAAATAGAAATATCAGAATGATAAAATTTCGCGAAGAGATATTTTTAATTCGTGTCGAGGATATGGGAATCGATGCAAAAGTTATTTGGCTTTTAAATGCAGGAAATGAAGGGAAAAAGGACGGTTCAGTGACCGGCGTTGGCTCGAATTAAATTTTGAATGGAACAGGTAGAATGACGCGACGGTGGAGAGTGCTGGTAAATATTTTTGGGCTGTGAGCCAGGTGTAAAGAGATCCTTCCACGATTCTTATTTACATTTAATTTAATCCGATACCGTATCAGACGGATTTTGTCATTACGTTTTAACGAATTCTGTATAATTGATAAACCCGATCAATTTTGGATTAATTACGGATAATATATATTTATTGAATTGCCGGGAAAATAGATTTTTGACCCAAGCAAGATGAATGATTTCAAATAGCTCGCATAATATCCCTTATTTACGATAAGGGAAGATTTATCTATCGTTATTTTCCCTATAGATAGCTATATTCAAATAAGCAAACAAAAAATAATTATGATTTAATAACCACGATTCATAAACGAGGAATCCGTATTACACGTGTAATAAATTTTCCTTCGTACTCGCAAAATTATCTCATAATATATTTACCAATTCTTCAATTCCATTCTGTTGCTTTTCGTCGCACAATTCAATAATCGTCAAAACTTCTTCGCATAGAAAATAACAAAATTCCAAGAAGAATAACATTAATTCCCGTCAATCCAATATTATTAAATATTTCCTTACCAATTCTTCGTTACCATTAGTTTTTCGTTGCATAATCGAATAATTCAAAAAAGTACTTCACTTCAAAAAATAACAAAATTCACAGTTCACGATGCATCCACTTTCTCTAACTCTAAACTTACAAAACGCCAGGAAGGCAGATAATGGAATAACAGAATGACATTAATTTCCAAGATTAAATATCTTATTTACTCTATTACCTGTTTATCAATTTTATCAATTTATCATTCGTCTTTCATCCTCCGATATAACTTAAAACTCTTCCGCTTCAAAGGATAAGAAAATCCACAATTCACGATGCATCCACTTTCTCTAATCTTAAACTATAAAATGCCAGAAAGACAGACATTGCCGTGAAATAACACGATAATATTAATTTCCAAAATTAAATATCTTGTTTACTCCATTTATCAATTTTTCATTCATCGTGTTTCATCCTCCGATATAACCAAAAACTCTTCCTCTTCAAAAGATAAGAAAATCCACGATTCACATCCATCTGAACTGAAGAATTCTAGGACCGTCTCGCGATGGTCTCACGATCCCGTTATTCGCGAAGAATTCCTGGCAATTACGTGGGCAGGAGTTGATTGAGCACCGCTGCGAGGTAAACGAGAGCGGCACGTGTTCCGGGCCGGCTCGAACTTCGTCCGCAACCCCCGTCTGCATGTCTTCCACGCACGTGCACGTGACTGCACGCGGGGAAGATGTTACCGGTTGGTTGAAGGCGCTTATTAGTCCGAGCCAATTACTCCGCGAGTTCCTGAGCGGCAACGTGGCCATCGTGCCTGGAAAATTGCCACTCTCTGCTATGTCCCCTCCTTCGAATTCCAAAAGGGATTCTCTCTCCCTTCCTTTGTTCGGTGCCGAGGACACCTCTGAAGGAAGCCGTCGTCGTAATCGATGGAAATTTGATTTTCGGTCGGACAAGGAGGAGGGGACAATTTGCGGCGAGGGGCGAAGAAGATATTGAATTTGAAGAATTTTGGGGGAGGAATGAGATTAAGAGCCGCTCCTCTTAGTTATTCGAATCGAAAAGCCTGATAATAGAGATTTCGAGAAATCTGATCGAGAAGAGAATTGTAAATTCAATTTATTATTATTATTAGTTCGATGAGTTGTAAAAATTGGAAGAAAAGATTTAAGAAATGGTATATCGATTGTGATTCGTATAAATAAACGCGCGAAAAAAAAGATAATTAAACGATTATTTATGAATAAAGAGGCATGTTAACAGTAACGTATATTGAAATGAAAATAATCGTGTATAGAAAAGATTGTAATGAAACATTGTAAAAACAACGTAAAATATTGTGACCGCGAGTGTTAATTACGAAAAAGTTGCATAAAATGGTTGAAATAATCGGAATTAAGTTAAATTCGAGTGAATAAAATGAAATATTATTATGATAAATATAAAACTATATTAAACTATACTTTCAGTCATTTTTGTTAAAAAAAATATATATATATATATCTCTATAATGGTCCATCTATCTCACGTATAAATACTATTCGACTAACTTTCGCTGTATGAGTTAATTGAACAACCGTTGCAATTTTTTACACGTTTATTTTATATCACCAAACTCAATTGGCATTGTCTGTACAAATGTATTTTTCCCCATACGTTTCGTATTTTTTTTTTTTTTTTTTTCAAGAGCGTTCCATTTCTCGATAACTGATTTTATTTACATACATTGACTTCTAACGTTAGTTATCTTTTTTTTTTTTTTTCCACCAAAAAAAATATCATCGAATTTTTATTTTTACACTTTGCTACTTGACCACTCGATGCACTCGATCACCATCCCTCGTCCATCCCTCTTCGAATTAATGAAAAATATTTTCAAGAGCATAAATTGGAATTAAAAGAAACGATATATCAATAATAGTCACGAGGATGGTAATTCATTACATGTAAAATACGTTAAATCGAGTTGAACGGGATGAAAATAAACGAATTCCTTCGAGCATAATATAATAGCATATAATATCGAGAAGCCAGAGGAGAATTTTAATAATTCGGCTGATCCACTTTTATGAAAGAGCGGGACGAACGTTACAATGCGGCGACAATATATACCGTAAGCTCGTCCGCGTTTACAGTTTCATCCATTATATCGAGGAAAACGTAAAAATGTTTGCAGCCTTTGCCACGCCTTGGGAATGAAATTGCGATGCTTTTTCAACCTATTCCATCCGCGAATGGAACCGATAAGTTCGTGGAAATTCGTCTATCGACGGATCGAATGCAAATTCAAAGAACGTTCTCGTTTCGATGACGAACAGTATTGTGATTTTTTTTTTTTCTTTTTTTTTGTTAACTCATTGTCGAATCACACGGGACAT